ATGTCTCTTTAGGTAAAAACAGCCTAAGGTCAATAAAAGGTTCAATATTGGAATACTTTTTACCTGAAGTTTAGCTTATCTGTCGAGAATAAACTAGACATTTGTCAGAGTTTGTCAGATCAATTCAAAGTTTGTCAGATCAATTGAAACCCAAACATCCATCAAATATTGTATAACCATATTGTGCAACCACTGCCAATGTTTACCCTTGTTTTACCCCGTTGTCTGTCTCTGTGTATTTTGGCAATTGTTTGAATTGTGGCTTGTACTTCTGTAACAGAATCTGAATTTTTTTTTTTTATTTATGGGCTAAACATCCTCTGGCTCAGAATGCTACAGTAGCCACGCCCCAAACTCACGCTATTGGGTGCAAAGAGGTATGCAAATACATACAGTTGTGGTCAAAATTTTACATACACTTTGCAGAAAATGTTCATTCTTTTACCAAAATTAGAGGGATCATACAAAATGCATGTTATTTTTTTTTTTGTACTGACCTTATATTTCACATAAAAGACATTTACATATAGTCCACAAGAGAAAATAATATAGTTACATTTATAAAAATGACCCCCTTCAAAAGTTTACATACGCTTGATTCTTAATACTGTGTTGTTACCTTTTTTTGTGATAGTTGTTCATGAGTCCCTTGTCTGTCCTGAACAGTTAAACTGTCGGATGTTCTTCCGAGAAATCCTTCAGGTCCCACAAATTCTTTGGTTTTCCAACATCTTTTGCGTATTTGAACCCTTTCCAACAATGAATGTATGTTTTTGAGATCCATCTTTTCACACTGAGGACAACTGAGGGACTCATACACAACTATTACAAAAGGTTAAAACGGTCACTAATGCTCCAGAAGGTAAAATATGTATGTACTTGCATAAAAAAAAAGAGTACAATGTACCCTATATATCTATATATGGAGTGACTCTGATCAGGTGTGTTTGCTGTGAGTCGGTTATATTCATGCTTACTGTTGACCATCAGCACCCCCTCCACCAATCTTTGGTTCTTCCAAGCCAGTTGTATTAAAGCAAGTTTGATTACATTTCAGATTAGAGCAGCAGAGAGGCGTTTGCTGCAGGAGTGAATTATGCACTGCTTTACCCCCCTCAGTGTCACCCTCACTCCCTCTGTTCCTTTGACCTCCAGGTCACACAAAAAAAGCTGCATTAATCACAACGACACCCTGTCAAAAGAGAGAGAGAGATAGACAGAGAAACAGAGAGAAAGAGGAGGGGTTGTACCATAGACAGTAACACCTCCAATCTCTTTCTCCCACACTCTCCCTTTTCCTATCTCTTTTTTTTTCCTGCGCTGTGTCTGCCTGTGGCAAAAGACCTCTGTTTCTCTGCTTCCCAAAAACTAAATTAACCCATTTCCAACCCCTATTACAGCTGTGTACTCCTGAATATCACCCCTCGCCTGAGGGGATAAATGCCACTAACATTCACAACAGAGGTGGAATTCATCTGTGCTCTTTTGGCAAATAGAGTTCATAGTGTGAGGCTCATAGTGTGAGCCAAGCTCCTCGCATATTAAAGGACAAGATTCATACTGCTAAAAAACAAATCAGAACAGAGGAAATGCTGAGAGACTGTAGTGGACCAGGAGTCCCAGAAATAAAAACACTAACCCTAACCCAGACAGAAGTAAAACCTATCAAAATTCTTACATGTTAAGAGGCATCAAAGGTTATATTACAAGTAAAACATCTAAGTCTTTAAGAAAATCCACATTTGAAATAATCTGTTGTGCTTGCTAAAGCAAGCATCACTATTACTAATGCTCACAGTTAAAGGGATAGTTCACCCTAAAAATTAAAATTCTGTCATTATTTACTCACCCTCATGTCGTTCTAAACCCGTAAGACCTCCGTTCATCTTCTGAACACAAATCGACTTTATTCAACAATCCGTCTCCTCCGCATCAGCCTAGCGCCATTTTGGAGAGTATCCACTGAACGTAAATCACAATACAAATAGTTGCAAAGCAGCTTTACAGAAAATCAAGCTTCTACAATATATTTAGTAGTAGCTTATCAGTGGTGACTGTCAGTTAATGTACATATCTTATAGGTTTGGAACAACATGAGGGTGAGTAATTAATGACAAAATTTTCATTTTTTGGGTGAACTATCCCTTTAAGGTTAGGGTTTTGAACAAGACTATAACCCTGAGTATTAAACGGGTAATATCTTAAGTGGTCAAATAAGTGCTCAAATTGCAATTTTTCTGGCAGATTAAAAATTCCGTAGACTGAAAGGAGCTTCTACTTGGACCATGAGGCAGCCACTTAGCAGCCATATCACTTTTTTGTTGAGATTGTGTTGGTTCTCAAGCCAGAGCGGGTGCTCGGCTGGAGCTTGGTCAGAGCCGTCTGGGAGCCTATTGGTTGATTAGGATTGTTCAGTTGTCCAATTGAAGCTGCACAATTGCCTGATAGAAACTAAATGTAATTTATATCTCAAAGGACTTTTTAAACACTTTTTGGTTTGGAGCAACATCCAGTGGCAAATTCGTGATCAGACTACTGGTGATCTATAGAATATTGCTCTGACAACTTCATTCAGCCAAATCCTGTCAATACATATCCCTTATAAATCTGTTGGTTCATGCGTCTGCTCTGCATTAGGCTTAACCTGAGGAAATTAATCCAATAGAACTATTGGTCTGACAAGGATTAGGTCAGGTGCTCATCTCAATTACAAATTGACAGAGATTTATAAACAGTGTTTTGTTGTTAAAATCATCCTTAATCTCTAGCAGTGTGTTTTGTACTGTACATAATATATAATATTACAGAAGTATAAGAGCACTAAAGAAATGCTTACTAAGTATATTGTTGAATATAATTGCATTTCTTTTTTTTTATTTGCTATGCACCCTTCTGCTTTTTTTGTGCAAAACATGATGATCCAAAGAGCATCTTGTGAGCAAGGAAATTGTACCTTTGATTCAAAGTGCTTATTTTGGCCAGAATCACACATTTGCATGCATTTAATATCAAATATTGATTATATATATGTATATATATATATATGATTATTATTTTTTCCCCCAGATTTTTTTCAAGACTTTAGAACCATGTTGAACCAACCCACATGTATTTTCAGGTGTTTTATTCATACAGAATTATTAGCATAAAAAAACCCTTACATGCAGCTGGCAACAGATCAAACATGCAGAACAGAAATAATGACACCTTCATGAGTGATAGAATGCTCTTTCTCTCTCTGCCCGTTGGTCATTATCCTCTTTTCCCTGTTCACTTCCAAGTTCTTGAAACAAAGACAATGCGTATTAGCTCCTCATTATTCATTTAAATCCATGAAGCCAATCAATTAAGCTTAAGTGTGCAATAAATCAGATTAACCAGTCAAGTCCCAAAACACCATAAAACCAGCACTGGACTGATTTTCCATAATTAGTTTGATGAGAGAGGCTGGGCCTGGGTGTGTGTGTGTGTGTGTGTGTGTGTGTCATTTAAAGAGGCTTTAGCGTGTTATTTTATATCATGAAGTGCTGTGAGGAATTGTAATGTAGCCATGTTGTGTGCTGTGTCAGACAATACCTTCCCCCATGTGATGTCAGTTGTACGCATGTTTCATGTAAAGCTGCTCACCTAAAATTTGATCATTTAGTTTAAAGTGATAGTTCACCCAAAAATTTAAATTCTGTTATTAATTACTCGCCCTCATGTCGTTCCAAACCCGTAAACACAAATTAAGATATTTTTGATGGAATATGAGAGCTCTCTGACCCTCCATAGACAGCAAGGATATTACCACGATCAACACACAGAAACGTAGCAAGGACATCTGTAAAATAGTACATGTGACATCAGGGGTAGCGAAGCTACGAGAATACTTTTTGTGCGCAAAAAAAACAATAATAACATACATAATAAACAACGCTGATTACGATGATTATGTTCTGGGGTACTCTCCAAAATAGCGGAAGACGGTAACTTGGGGAGAAGTATTGTTGAATAAGTTATGTTATTATTGTTTTCTTTGTGCACAAAAAGTATTCTAGTAGCTTCGGAAAATTACAGTGCAAAAAAAACAATAATAACATACATAATAAACAACGCTGATTACGATGATTATGTTCTGGGGTAGGCTACTCTCCAAAATAGCGGAAGACGGTAACTTGGGGAGAAGTATTGTTGAATAAGTTATGTTATTATTGTTTTCTTTGTGCACAAAAAGTATTCTAGTAGCTTCGGAAAATTACAGTTGAACCCCTGATGTCACATGGACTATTTTACCGACGTCCTTTCACATTTCTGTGCGTTGATCGTGGTAATATCATTGCTGTCTATGGAGGGTCAGCGAGCTCTCAGGTTCCATCAAAAACATCTTAATTTGCGTTCCGAAGATGAACGGCATGAGGGTGAGGAATTAATTACATAATTTTCATTTTTGGGTGAACAAACCCTTTAAATGTAATGTTTTTTTCTTTCTTTCTTTTTTGTACTTCAAAATGTTGTATTGTTTTATTTTAGAAAATAACTAAAAATAACTAACATAAAATGAACTGTCTTTCCCTCTGCCTTGTTTTCTTTAACCAGCCCTTTCATCCCCCTTTTTGTCCCATGGGAAATTACAACAGTATAAAGCCTGGACCCTGCTGCATGAATCTTTCCTCTCTTTCTCCCTTTTGTATCAGAATGTCACACTAGGAATCACACTATAGGTCAAACAGTGGCAGAGTCTATACTATATGGGAGCATCCTTGAATGTAGATTAGATTACTCCCTTCATGTGTAATGTGTGTATAGATAGATAGATAGATAGATAGATAATTAGATAGATAGATGAAAACGCTTTTTTTTAATTGTTTGTTTGTTTGTGTAGAGAGCGTGCAGGGGTCTCCGTTGAACGCCCATTCCAGCCCCTGTGAATTCCAACTGGACGCTTTGAAACCTTTTATGGGCGGTGCTCCGATGTAAAAATCAGTCTGCTTGCTTATTGGTTGGTTAAACGTCATATTGAAATGTCTTAGGGGCTAAGCCCCTCCCACCGGAGTTGAGCTGCACGTCTGCTGTGTTGATACCGAACAAAATGGCTGTAGAGGCTTGATCCTGACTCGACACTCTCAGCGCTTTCTCCGGACACTCCGCACTTATTCCTGGATATTTCCACTCGTTTTAAAAACATCTCTGGATTTTCCCACACGACTGCCGCCAGACTGCCCGCCACATCGCTCGCTATCTTTATTTTTGCACTTTAATGAAACAGCTCGCATCGTATAATCTCATGTCAGTCTACCAGACAGTAGCAGCTTCAAACTGCCCTCTTCTTCATTTTGCACCGTAGATGAGATGCTATTTCTGATGACCAATTTATGCCACTGTACTTGACAAACTGCCTCGCTGTTTTATTTTTTTCCGTCTTTTCAAGGGTAACGTTATATGTCATGGAAAGTCATTGCTGTTTTTCCAGCATGCATGCATCTATAATCTCCATCAGAGCCCAAAACTCTGAGTGCATAGAAATTTCAGTCACACACTGAATTTTGCGTTTACTTTCGTTCTGCTGCCTTTTTGGGGCTGTTTCGGAAGTTCAGCTGCTTCATACATTGTTACTTGGGTCTGTCTGTTTTTTTCGGGGGGGAAAATGCCTTTTGTACCGCTGTACAACATGCGACACTTTTTTTTTTTACAGAAAGCTGCCAAAGCTCGACTTGTGAACAAAAAGGTAAGTTGAGATATTGGCTCCGTCTCAAAACCTCGGCTGCTGACTCGTTAACATCTACGATTGCAACCAATGTTGTCTAGATAGGCAGCTCACTAGGTTTAAAAAAAATCTTTGATCATCTCTAAAACAGGCTGCGAGTTCAACTTTAAGTCTAATCCGTTGAAGACATTTGTGTGCTGTGGTTTAGTGGTTAAAAATCTGGGCTGTTACTTGAAAGCTTGTAGCTTCTAACTCAGCGACGAGTTTGACCATAAACACGCTTAACCAAGTTACTGCAGGTAGACTGAGCCTGTAATGTGTTTACTGTTAGTTACTTTGCTGACTGGGTCAGATAAATGATGGCTTGGAATAAATACTGTTTTAGATTTATCCAACTGCTGTTTAGTCGCGTAATCTGTAATTAGAGCCTTTATTTACACTGAAATAATTTTAAAAAAATAGTCTTTCATTTTGTTCTATTTATTTACCTGTGTTTATTTTTTTAAATATACTGTGCTCAGATATGTTAATTAGCATACCAGACTACCACAGTTCCATAGTAATAAACTATGCAGTGAATCTGATATTTGGTTATTTTAATTTAATGTTAATTTGGTTGCACTGAAAAAAATTTTTCATTCATCCAATTAAAAAAATGTAGGGTAATGATTCACATCTATATTTTTTAACTTGAGCCAAAATAAATAACTTGCCCTAAGGGGAGTGATATCATGTTGTCAGTGTCAAAAAATATCCCTAAAACGTTTCTGCATTTTTAAATGTTTGAGGTGGTACAAAATGAAGGGCTGGACTTTCGCCATTACTCTTCCTGTCTCTCAAAATAATAGAAGATTCCGGTGTGAATCTGGTGGGTACAGCTAATATTGCATGCATCTGATCCTATTAAACATTACACTTAAAATCCTCCAATTAACAGGCTCCTCACTGTTGCCATGTTCTTTCACACTGAAAGGGATCTATTCATCATGAAATAAAATTTCTGTTGGTTATGGGATTTCCAGCAAAACACACAAAGAGGACAGCCTATAACTTGTGTACTGACATATATTTTACTGGAAAGAGAAAAGAAAGACTAGAAGTCAAAAAGGTCAATTAGAGTTAGTTTCTTAGATCTAGCCTAGATTCTTGCTCTGTTAGCTGTTTATATTCACAAACTCATGTGAATATGAGTTGGGTCATTTGTTTCTCCTTGTGAAATATCTAAATACTTCTAAATACTCAGAGCAGTTAGATATTTTTGCATTTTTTTTTTAATGTAAAAATTATAATTTTATTTAGATAACCATCTTTGCTCTCTGAGAAATAGGAATTTGGATTTGCCATCCTTCTCCCCTATTATTCTAGTACTTGTTATCCATATTGTCACTGTGTGCTTTGTAGCTTTGCTTATTGTCTTGTGCGCTTAATTGAGAACCATAATTTTTTTCTTCGATCTATTTTCTCTCTTGAAAATCATGTCACACTTGGCTGATGCCAGTGATAAAATGAATAGGGCAATTCACTTGTAATTCATAACCCGTCTACCCTTTGAGTGTGTGCTGCTCAACCTTAATTATAAATCACACCAAAACGAGGAGCTCCTTTGCTCCAGTACACCCAGATTCAGCTCTCCCCCCTTTCGTCTGGTTTTAGGAAACCACCGTCCCTCATGGCTCTGCAGGGGATTGGGGTCAAAGCTTGGAGGCGTGAGACGCCAGTGTTCAGCTTGTCAAAAAGGCAAAAAGGGCAAGCAAGAGCTTGTAAAAGTAGAAAGAGACTGGGAATTCCTTGTCTTTCATGGGATTCTCTGTGTACATTGTGGCTTTCTATTTGGTGTCTAGCCCCACTTTATAGCTGGACATAATTTAATATTGGCTTCTGTGGCTGCACACTGCCTCCGTCTTGCTCTGATAAAATTAGAGCACATTGTTCTTGTCTGCACAGATTTCAAAGGCTGGCTGTGGTGAACTCTCCTTTGCTGGAGTTCAGTTTGCATTTCTGTAACAGTAGAATAGTTTGCCTGATTTTCATTCTTTCCTGTGCCTAGAATTTTTAATGAATTAATTATTATGTTTTTTTTAAGGAGGTATTTTTCTTCAGGCAGTTGTGTAGTATCAAACCACATATTTGTAATTGCTTAGATTAAAATAAAATATCCCAGGAGGTTAGACAGTGCTGACCTGGCATCGAAACGCAATTTAGGTAGACGCTATGAGATCTTTCCACCCATATTTCTCTCATTACCTCATCATCGCACCACAGTCCAGTCCAGTTCAGTTTAACATTGAACCCTCTGATGTAAGAGACTGACATCCTCTTGTCCATGTGAGAGGAGAATGGTGCGCCACGCTGCAGGACAGGATGGGGTACAGGTTAGGGAAAGAACTGGAGAAGAAAGGATTTGTGAGTGTTGGCTGGTGTCCCAGAAAATGTCCCTGCTGTGTTGCTGGGTCCTTTCCCCATTCTGTCTTATGATAGCATTTTGCTATAAACTCTAGGCAGAATAAAAGCTTCATGTCATTGAGATTGTGAGTTTGTGGATTATTGCATTTCAGATTAACAAATTTTGTTTCATCCCTTGTTCTATTTTGGAGATCCCAGGTCCCTATTAATTAGTCAGAAAACATCAATCTTAAACAGCGACTTTAATGATGTCTAATATTTTGAGAACGGATACTTCAAATATCCTTTTGGGGGGAAAAAATTAATATTTTATTTTTTCAAAATATAATTTTAAAATATTTTAAATTTTAAATATAAAAAAAAAAAAGTTAGTGATCTCAGAGCCTAGGTAAAACAGCATGAATACCAAGCAACCCCAAAACGGAAAGTTAGTGTCAGAAGAACACGAATATTTTGTAGATTCTTCTTTGTGGTTTCTAAGTTTAGTTATAGGATAGTTTCGTACATGGCTCAACTGTAATTTTTTTTCTGCTTAGTTGTGCCAGTAGCACTGATTTTAGTAGTGCAGAAGTTCCAACATTTTATTCTACAAATACACTGTTAGACATTTTCAAAGGGTTTTTACAGTAACTTACAGGCAACACTGTTGCAAAACATTCCTGGCTTTTTTATCATTTTCAAAATATTCTATTTTATATTAAGTACACTATCACAAATTTTTCTTAGAGTTTCTAGGCAGCTGTTTAACTTCATCTTGCAGCCAAAAAACAAGGGATAGAATGCATGTGTTTGATTAATGAATGTCAGTGACATTAAGAATTGGCCTATTAGGGCAAGTAGGCCTGTCACGATAACAACTTTTTGTTGTGCGATATATTGCCCCAGAAATAATTGCGATAAGCGATATTATTGTCATTTTAAAGACCATTTTATGCCACTGAATATATAATCATAATGTAACAGCATAATAATGCAAGAAGGCCTACACACTTCCAAATGACAACAAACTTTTAATTTTAAGAATATTTAG